AGAATCGGAAGGGTAAAAGTGAGAAGTTTTGTGCATTGGGATAAAAACAGTTTAATAAGTAAAAGGAAAGAGAAACAAACACAAGAAAACCAAGTGATGCAAAAACCCCCATTGCTCACCACCAGCTGGCCCATGCTAATCCCCAAGCAGCAGCAGCTCCGGCAAAATCCACCCCCCCCAGTAGAAGACATTACATGGTATGGAATATCCCTTTGGTCAGTTGGGGACAGTTGTCCTGGCTGCGTCCCCTCCCAGCTCCTTGTGCACCCCCAGCCTGCTCACCGGCAGGGCACTGTGAGAACCAGAAAAGGCCTTGGCTGTGTGTAAGCACTGCTCAGCAATAGCTAAAACATCCCTGTGTTATCAATGGTGATTTCATCACAAATCCAAACACAGCACCATAGGAGCTACTGTGAAGAAAATTAACTGTTTGCCAGCCAAAACCAGCACACAGGGATTGGAAGCCATGATGGGGTAAGAACAGAAAAGACCTCCTGTGCATACATGCCTCTTTGGAGGAAGAATCAAATGGGCAATGAGATGCTCTTTAACCATACTTCTTTCCAGAATGTTGAATAAAACTGGAAAGCTGGATTTCACTCTTCTCCACTATCAGTAAATACCTCTGAGGCCCACAGGGAAGGTATGGTATCTCTCTAGTGCAGCTTGCAGAGAAGATGAGGACTTGGTACTGCCACCAGTTAGTCCCCTTGCTGATGCAGCAAATGCTTGAGTGATGATTGTTGATGCTCATGCAGGTGTGGGATTTTAGGTTGGATTTTCCCAGTTTGTTTAGGAGGTTACTTATTTTTCCCTGTATTAGAGAACATGATTGCCTTTTGAATGTTAGTAAATTGAAAGTTAGAATATGTCAGAAGCTCCTGTGCTACGTTAATTCAGACCTTTAATGTACATACTTATGTACCATTTTCAAACATTCTGTTCCATACTGATTTTTTCTGGTAGACTTCTTCCCCTTTCTTTCATTGTCTAGGCTGCAGATTCTTTTCAAACTAGTCCTGCAACTGCAGACTTTATAAGATGTTTATTCTCTGATGGGAAGGGGGAAGCCAAGTAGAGAGTTTAAAATGGTTAGCTTCTACATTCAAAATGTCACAAAAAAAGAACTTGGACATACTTCCCCAACATCTAAGGAAATGTCCTTTTTCTAGTCTCCTGAACAGCAGTGTGTCAGTGTGATATACCAGTTATCCTCTGCATGCACCCATTTTTTTACCTGACACACACTCCTGATATAATAGGTGTTCAGGTAAAAATCAGAATGGTATTGGCTTTGTTTCACCGCTCTGAATATTATTTTTTTTTAATTAATGAAAACTTGGATTCTTTATGTACCTAAAGTTTTTGCTATTATTCCTGAGGATCTTCTGCAAGACTGGGTCCAAAGCCCAGGACACAATGTAAAGTGGTGACTTATTTAGGGATGAAAGGAAAATATGGATTTAATTGAAACCTATATGTTGATGTCATGGCAGTGAAAGACTTGCTGCTCCAGGTAGCTTCTGCACCTGTTCCCTGTGTAGCTTGTGTGTGCAGATAGACAATACCATTATTACCTATTTCATAGAAGTTATTTACTGTTTACTAACTGTTAATGACCAGGATTGGTAGACACATCTTTTTTTTCACAGAGAGGGTGGTGAGGCACTGGCACAGGTTGCCCAGAGAAGCTGGGGATGCCCCATCCCTGGAAGTGTTCAAGGCTAGGCTGGATGAGGCTTTGAGCAACCTGGTCTAGTGGAAGGTGTCCCTGCCCATGGCAGGGGGGGTGGAACTAGATGGTCTTTAAGATCCCTTCCAACCCAAACCACTCTGTGATTCTATGATCTAAGCCAGTCGCAGGTACAGTCAGTGAGTACAGAAAGGCTCCCTGAAGGTTCGATTCACCTGACCTACTTTGGACAGCTGCTGTGGCATGAGGTGGCTCACACCCTAGGAGGTGCCTGTTTCTCTCTGTTGGGTATAAAGCAAGCTGAGGATGACTGGCTTGCAGATAGCTGTCTGCAGTCCTCCACAGCCATCTCACCCTTGTCGTCTTTTCACTGGCTTATTTGATTATTATGCTGCTTAGGCAGCTTGCTAACAGCCCACCTACCATTCTAACATTTAATGCTCGTGAAGAAGAGATTTTTACTTCAAGGAATAATTGCATCATCCCTGTCTATAAGGGGTCTGTACCTAAAGTACCTGCTAATTCTCAATGATTGTGAATGTAATACTATGAAATCTTTCACAACCTTTGATGAAAGTCAGCTTAAATCTGACTCTGAATTACTGTAGTCAAGATTCAGTACAGGTTTTCATTGGTAAGTGTCATGGCAGGTATTTCAGAGAGAGAGAAGGCATATAATACTGCAGTATACTTCTTGATAGACAAAGAGGTCTTAAAGCCATGTATTTGTGCTTGTCAGCTGGTTACTAATGTTGTTGGAGTTGTGTGTTAATTCAGCTTGTGAGATTTCAGCTTCTGTGGCTTTTCTGGCAAGCAGAGCTGCAGTATTTTCCCAGCACACTGGAAGTGTCAGAAGTCTGTAGCTTTCCATGCTGTATCTGCTCTTCCCTGTGGTGCCTTTCGCACTGCACAGTATTGTTTCTGCTTTGTTCATAGGTTCTGAAGGCATCTATATTTTTCTCTGCTACAGGAATCAGTTTAAGGTCTGCCATGTTAGGGCTGATGCCCTAGATGATTTGCCTGGAGCTGCTCCTGTAATGTGTTGCTGGTTTCTCTCTGCGCTATAGAAAATGGCTTCAGGCAGTCTTTTGCTTGATATGTGTACCAGATACCCAGATCTGGATAGTAACACGTGCAGGAAAATGGCTTTCATCCTGAGTGGCTGTCACTTGCAAGTAAAGTAACACCTGTAAACTCTCTGAAAAAGAAACTCAGCAATTTTTTTTCTTTTGGCATTTCAATCACAACCTTCTTATTTGAACTGTGCTTTTTCCTCCTTTTCTTCACAAGAGCTTTCTTGTTACGCTGAGTATGCAAGGATGTAGTTAAATTCCCCTGATGACTTAAATGTGAGCTTCTAGGATTTATGGGCTTTCTTCAGTGATGACTAGAAATTGTCCATTGACATGGGAAAAAATTTATAGGCCTTGAGTATGTCTGATTATGTTTTACATGTGAGGTTGTAGGTGAGGTCACACCACGCTCCCTCTAAGCACAGATCAAGTCTATTTGGGCAGGCAGCTATACATAAAACACACAGTAACAGATATATGGCATGACCGTTCACTTCCTACCACAATTACAAATAGCTCCAGAAATACAAAATACTCTGATACATTAGAAAGCTGAAGTGTTTACTGAGTTGGTCCAAGTGATATATTTCTATATCCCTTCTCTGTCAGTGCAGTGACTGCATATACACTGGCTAAAATAGAGGGGTTCCACTCTGGCTACTTTCTGGGTGCTACTGGAGTGCTAAATGTTTAATAAAAACTAGATTTTGTAAAAAACTGGTTTCAGTTGCCAAATGAAAGTAAGACTTTCGGTCAGTGTAGCAACTATGGTCTGACACCTGACAGTTTATCATTTTTGTACACATTTCATCAGGACAAAATCTAATTGGAAGTTGGATGGCAGTTCTGCTAATGGTGCAGAAAGAATAATAAAATCTAATGTAAGAAATGTTGTATATAGTCTTGGAATGGTAACACAAATTCAGAACTGAAACCATTGAATTTAAAGAACTCATTTATCTGTGATGAACTGTTTTATCCCTCTGCATCCATCTAAGCACTTAGGATTTGTTTGAAAATAACAATTTCATTTTCATACAGTTCAGCTCTAGTTCCAGCTTTGGCTGTGTCTAATTTACAGTGTTATTTCCTTCCAGAAATCCCCTTTTAACACTTACCATTGTCATAAATTTCTCTTTTCCAAGCACTGAGAGGTTGATAGAAATCTGCTTTATAGAAACCTTATCTATTTGTATTGGAATGATACCAGCAACATAGTAAGATTTTGGCTTTCTTCTTCCTAGCCATCTGCCTCTTTCATTTGGAGAGGGAGCAAATAGGCAGCAGCAATCAGATTTCCTTTGGCTTTCCTGCATTTAAGCTTTTTGACTTACGTTTCAAGTCTGACTTTTGCTTGGGTTTTCACCACACCCTTTTTGTCTCCAGCAAACTACCAGTGCTTTTGTTATTTCTTTGCCTATGTCCCTGCTATCTGATTTAACTTAGGTAAGGACAAGAAGAGCCATGGAGCAAGGAAGGATTGGAAGACCCAGCCCTCCCCTGCCATCTGAGATGTCTTACTGTACTCCGGTGTGTTTCTTGCACTGAAAACTTGCTTGAATTACCTTAAATCATTCTTCTTTACATTTCTTCACTATTTCGGCTCTTCAGCCCTCCCCATTACAGGCATACGTCTTCTGTTTCATAATGTCAGTTGGTTTGCTTCTGCTTCTGCAGCTTTCAGTTGAAATCTGATGTCTCAAAGCTACGGAAAAGAAATGTCACCAACCGAATGTGAACATTAGGAGTGCAACGGGTGATACCATTTCTTAGTGATCAGCTCCATCATCAGAGCTTTCATTTCTCATCGGCTAATTAACTATTTCTTGAAGAGCATTTCTCATTATGAACATGTTCAGAAAGGGAAGATACGTGTTGACATTGGAGCCCCCATTTAAAAAAGCCCCAAAACTAAAAAGTAGGACAGCACAATGATTTTGTCTCTTGCATATTTTAATGAACGAGGCTAAGATTCAAAATACATCTATTGTCATATTAGTGTTGTAAAGCATTTTGTAAAGGGCCTTATTAGCAGAATTGTGCTCTCAGTTCTTTTGAAATAGCTCAATTTGGTCGCTGAAAAATGGAGGCACCCAAGAACCATTGGTTATTTTTTGAACTCTTGGCCTTCCAAACTGAACTTTAAAGGACAAAACCACATGTGCCAGGCTGTTGGCATAAATATGGTCAATAATTTAGTTAGCAGTAATTTCCTGATGTATTGAGATTATATGATTCATTGTAGCCCACTAAACTACCATCCTGCCACTTAAAAAGATGAGGGTCATTCAGCATGTTGTGTGATGCATGCAGGTGGGTTGTGCTCTTGTCAGAGTAAGTCCTCTGCTAGGTTCTGCTCCTGGTCATTCCTTCCAAGGCAAGAGGAGTCTGGTTTCCATGGCACTTGGCAGTTGTCTGGCTGACTGACCAGTATACACAAGTAATTAGTAGGCAGGAATATGTTTTCCCACAAGATTAAATTTAAGGTACTGAAAAAAATGGTGGCTTTAGCTCCTGTATTTTTTTGTAACACTCACTTTAATCACTGGCTTTCTTTTCTTATAGTCATAGTAGATGGTATGCTTTGATTGGTTTTGTAATGGGTACAGTTTACAAAATAGCTATTAATCATTACGCAGTGAGTCAAAATGAATTAATTTAGGATTTGAAATAACACATCTCAGGCATATTCTTGTTTCAGAAAAACATATTAATTGATCATCTTCTTTCAGGTGAAAAATTAATGCCAGTATCTTCTCTGTATTTGTTTAATTCCGATGATCTTCTAGACAGTTATTAAATTTTAGGAAATGTTGGTCTTGGTTTTTTATGGAAGTAATTTTATTCACAAAGTAGGAATGCTTCTATTGTTTTTAAGACACTGAAGTATTCATAGAAAAAAATACATTTAAAAAAACCATGGGTAAGGTAATGTAATTATGTACAAAAGATAAATAGATGCTTAATCTGAAAATTCATTAATTCTATTTTTTATTTGTAATAAAGATTAATGCAATAACCGATTTATTGACTTCTCTAAATACCACAGGCAAATGCTTGAAATCTCAATATTTGAACTGAGAAACATGGTAACAGAACTGGAAAAAAGTCTTAGCAGTGTTGAAGATGAAGGTAAGTGAACAGCAACAGAATATTGCTAATTGATTAGGAAACACAGAAAGGCAATTGTTTTGGGTAGGGCCTATGGAGGTACAAATTCTTATTTAGAAATTTAAGTTTTGCCTTTCAAACATGACTATTATAGGTGTGACATTGCAAATGCGGAATTCAAGGATACTACATGCTGCATGTTAGCTTTAATTATTCATGAAACTATGAATAACATGAATTAATAGGGTTGGTTAATAGTCTGGCCACAGTAAGCCCAGTGAAAAATTACCGGGATTTATATTTTTCAAGCTCTTTTGTATGCAAAGATTGTCGTTATGAGGATTAGTAACTGGAGACTTTCTCAGCCTCCAGAAAAAAAAGTGGGCAGGGCTTGAAAAAATGCCAACTTTTACTTGAAATGGCACAAAATAACCCTGTATTTGTTTTTAAGGTAATGAATGGAAAACCAGATATGAGACACAAGTAGAATTGAACAAACAGCTGGAAAGGCAAATTAATATTCTTCAAGAGAAGATGGAGCTTTTTTGTGGCAATCCAGCAGGTAGAAATGGGTATTCATAACTTCTTCAATAGAATTAGTGATTATATGTCAGAGTTATATCAATGAGTCAAATTTTCTGCTTATTTGTAGATAAATTGGCCATTATTCGCACCTTTGATCAAATGCCTGTGGTGAGTACTATGGTGTCCTGGTTTCAACTGGGTTAGAGTTAATTTCCCTCCTAGTATAGTGCTGTGTTTTGGATTTGGGATGAAAATAATGTTAGTAACACACTGATGTTTTAGTTGTTGCTGAGCAGTGCTTACACAAAGTCAAGGACTTTCAGCTTCTCACACTGCTCTGCCAGGGTGGAGACTGGGAGAACACAAGAACCTGGGAGGGGACACAACCAGGCTAGCTGATCGAAACTGGACAAAGGGATATTCTATACCATATGACATCATGCTGAACATATAAACTAGAGGGAAAACTGTCTGGGGCTGCTGCTCAGGAACTGGCTGGGCATCAGTCGGCGGGTGGTGAGCAGTTGCATTGTGCATCACTTGTTTTGTATATTCTTCTGTTAACATTATTATTTTCCTTTTTCTGCCCTATTAAGTGGCCTTTATCTCAACCCATGAGTTTTACCTTTTTTCCGATTCTCTCCCTCGTCCCACTGGGCAGGGAGGGAGTGAAAGGCTGTGTAGTGTTTAGCTGCCTAAAGCAGTGGTTAGCAGCCATTTAGTTGGTTAACAAAAAACCTCAGTGTGTTTGAAGAACTTGTATAATCTTTGGGTTTTTTTATAACAGAAAATAGCAGCAGCCAGATCTAGAAACCAAATCAATCAGTCCTAATGACTTTTGTATTGTTTCAGATATGCAGTTGCTTATGTATTTATAAAGTATAAGTAAAATCGTTAAATAGGAGGTACATAAAAACTGAACGTTGGGAAGAATCATGTAGTGAAATTTTTGACTGAGTGAAGGACGTCCAGTAAGGCATATGAGATGGAGCAGCTGGACTAGATCCATGAATAAATGAAAAAATGTTAAACCTTGATCACAAAATCATGGGATCATTTAGGTTGGAAGGACCTCTCTTGACATCTTCTAGTCTGCTCCTCCTACTCAAGCAGGGTCAGCAACAGCAGGTTGCCCAGCCTCAGGTCCAGTTGGGTTTTTAATATCTCTGCAGATGGAGACTCCACAACTTTTCTGGGCAAGGTGTTCTAGTGTTTGACCACTCTTACAGTAAGAAAAGGGCTTTCTTGTGTTCTGATGGAATTTCACGTATTTGAGTTTGTGCCCATTGCCTCTTGTCCTGTCACTGGGCACCACTGAGAAGAGCCCAGCTCTCTCTTCTTCATTCCCTCCCATCACATATTTTTGCACATTGCTGAGATCCTCCTGGGCCTTCTGTTCTCCTGGCTGAACAGTCACAGCTCTCTCAGCCTCTCCTCATCTGCCAGAGGCTCCAATCCCTTAATTATCTTCATAGCCTTATGCTGCCCCCTCTACTCTGCTCTTGTGAGACCCCACCTGGAGTGCTGCGTCCAGCTGTGGAGCCCTCAACATCAGAAGGACATATCCTGGTTGGAGCAAGTCCAGAGGAGGCCACGGAGATGCTCAGAGGGCTGGAGCACCTCTGCTATGGGGACACGCTGAGAGAGTTGGGCTTTTTCAGCCTGGAGAAGCAAAGGCTCCGGGGAGACCTTATTGTAGCCTTCAGTACCTGAAGGGGCTACAAGGAAGCTGGGGGGGACTTTTTACAAGGGCCTGTAGTGACACGACAAGGGGTAACGGGTCTAAATTGGAAGTGGGAGGATTGGATTAGATATCAGGAAGTTATTCCCGGAGAGGGTGGTGAGGCACTGGGACAGGTTGCCCAGAGAAGCTGTGGATGCCCCATCCCTGGAAGTGTTCAAGGCCAGGCTGGATGAGGCTTTGAGCAACCTGGTCTAGTGGAAGGTGTCCCTGCCCATGGCAGGGGGGTTGGAACTAGATGGCCTTTAAGGTCCCTTCCAACCCAAACCATTCTATGATTCTATGATTCTATGACTTTGTCTAGGAAATCCATATTTTTCTTGCACTGGTGAGCCCAGAACTGGACCCAGCACTCCAGATATGTCTCACCAGTGCTAAAGGGAAGGGATGGATCACTTTCATCAGCCTGCTGGCCACATTCTCCCTAATGGAGCCCAGGTGGTCATTGTCCTCCTTTGCAGCAAGAGTGCATTGCTGGCTTCTGGTCACCTTGTTGTCCTCCTGGACTTTAAGGTTATTGTCTGCCAAGCTGCTTTCCAGTCAGTTGTCCTCCCAGCTATACTGGTGCCTGGGGTTATTTCTCCCCAGGGACAGGACTTTGCAGGTCCCCCTGTCGAACTGAACTTCATGTGATTCCTTTCTGCCTATTTCTGTAGCCTGTTGAGGTCCCTCTGAATGGCGGCGCAGTCCTCTGGTGTATCAGTCACTTCTCCCAGCTTTGTATCAACAGTGGTAACGTTGAGGAATGGTTGCAGTAGCTTCTCGCGTAACGCAGTTACAGGAAAACTCCTCATTGTACAGTAAATACATCATTTTTGCAACACTGAAGTAGATTTTTTAAAAATTAAAAAAAAATTATTAATATGCTCTTATTTCATTACCTGTATTTCAACAAAGCATAAAATATTTTTATGTGATCTTGAGGAGAAATGGCAAGAACAAAAAATCAAATATTTGGGAATTTAGTCTTCTTAAGCAGTAAATGAAGTGAAAACAATTTTAGATTTAAGACTGCTTTTTCCTTAGCTTGTCATCTTCTGAAATGTTTTGTTTTGAGAACTTTCCTGCTTCTTTTAGAAATAAGGGAAGCAGATAAAGATGTGATAATGCCTTACAACATAAGAAGGAATAATGAGCATTATGAGACAGAACTCTGATGATTTTTATTCCAGTTTCTTATGCTTACAGAAGTGTTTCCATCTTACTTTTTTGTGCTTCAGATTCTGAAGATTAACGGGAGTTTGCTGAGCCTGGAGGAGGCTGCATGCCTTATTAGTGGGCATGATTATCTGTTGTAAGCAGGGTGTGAATAATTAACTGCTCTTTCTGACCTGATCCATGGCTTTCAGATAGTACCCATTCTTTCCAATTTTAGTACTGTCCTAGAGACCATGGTGTTTTCTAGGTTAGCAGGATTTTTTTTTAACAGTTAATTAGAGAACAGTGTCTTTCCCATCCCACTTTCCTGTTTCAGGGGGTTGGTTTGAAAATACAACTAGGATTATATTTGAAGAAAAATCTTGAAGATAGAACATTGATCTAGAAAATTTACAGTGGAGTTTGCTTCAGACAACATTATTCCTGTCAGCCTGTAAAGCACAGACTGGCATGCATGTTTACACTATCAGAAGTGTTTATTTCCATCCAATTGCTAGGACTCTCTTAACAAATCCAATTACACCTTGCCAAGCACTGAAGAGTCATTACCAGTGAGATAATCTCCTTTACCAGCAGCTGGGCTTCCTCAATCCAGTACATTTCTAATCCCTACTAAATACTGCCTTGCATCCTCACCTCTGAGCACAACTGAAAGATTCATACTGCTAGAAGGAGTCTAGAAGACAGTTCAGACAGTCCCAGATGCTCAGTGACACATAGGGAAGTCTGGAGACCATGTACCATGCCGTAGGTTTTTTTTCTGCAGTCTTGCCTTCAGCCTTCCAGCTTAGAGTGAATACATTCTTCTGCTGGCTAGCCAAAGAGGAAAAAACCCAACAGTGCTTAGGGATTTAGCGAACTGTTTCATTTTCCCTTGTTTTGATTTCTGGGAGATGGAAAGAGGGGAAGAAAATAGATGTATTTTGTGGGCTTTGCTGTGATTTTTTTTCTCTGAAACTATCAGAAAAGTCAGTGTATATTTACCAATACTCTTGGAGAATGCAGAACTGCTTTTTTTCTTTTAAATTTTAGGAGAAAAAGCATTGGTAAAAAAAAAATACACAGATAATTTTGTGGTGTTTAAGCATAAAGGTTTATCCAAATCCTTTTTATGTTTTTGAGAGTTGTTCAGTGGAGTAGGGGGGGATATTTAGCTTCTCCACAGATGAGGATAAAGAGCAGATGTGGTGAGTGGGTGTAGAAAAACAAGGAGCTTTGCACCCAGTCATCAGTCTACATTTGCTCAAAGTAAAAATGCTGAGAGTGGGTATATATAAAATTGTGTGTGTTAAATCAAAACTACACTATGATATTCAGCTTTCAACGTGCAGTTGCAGATGAAGCTCTGTGGAAAGTTGCTGAGGGAGAGGACCCTCAATCCACTCCACTCCTACCAGTTTGATGCCAGTGCCAGCGATAGATGCCCAGAGCCTGAGGAAGGATCACAGGTCACCAGGAGAGCACCTGGCGAAAAAAAGAGAGGGGAATTCCAGCTGCTCCAGCCAGTGAGTCAGCTTCAGCAGGGGCTCTACTTGAACACCTCTGTGCAGATGCACATAGCAATGGGAAATAAACAAGAGGAGTTAGACGTGAGCAGACCTGCAGGGCTATGATCATACTGGCATCATGGAGATCTGGAGGGATGGCTCCTAAGACTGGAGTATCAGAATGGAAGGATACAGGCTCTTTAGGAAGGACAGGCAGGGGAGACAGGGAGGGGGGGTTGCCCTCTATGACAATGACCAGCTGGAGTCAGTGGAACTCCACCTGGGGATGGATGAGAACTTATTGGTGAGGATTAAAGGGAGGGCAGGGACAGGTGACATTATAGTGAGGGTCTGCCGCAAGCCAACCAACAAGGAAGACCGCGTGGATGAAGCCCTCTATAGACAAGTAGGAGCAGCCTCACGCTCACAAGCCCTGGTCCTCATGAGGGGCTTCAACCACTCCGAGATCTGTTGGAATGACAGCACAGCAGTAGATAAGCAATACAGGAGGTTCCTGGAATGGGCTGCTAATAAATTCCTTCTCCAAGTGAAAGAGGAGCCAGCGAAGAGGGGTGCAGTGCTGGACCTTGTTCTCACCAACAAGGAGGGGCTGGTGGGAATGTGAAGCTCAAGGGCAGCTTTGGCTGCAGTGACCATGAAGTGGTGGAGTTCAAGATCCTTAGGGCAGTGAGGAGAGTGCACAGCAAGCTCGCTACCCTGGACTTGAGAAGAGCAAACTTTGTCCTCTTCAGGAACTGATTGGTAGAATACCATGGGATGAA